GTGTGTGTGTGTGTGTGTGTGTGCGTGTGTGCGTGTGTGTGTGTGTATTGTTATATATTCCTCAAATCAACCTGTCCATCAGTTGTTGTTTTAGAAATTTCACGCCTCATCGCTAGTAATGACACACACACACAGTTCGTCTCGGTTGATTTTTTTGGCTAAGAGATGCGGTGGTCCCTTTGTTGTGTGTGTAATCAGTCATCGGTTGTAGGAAGGCGTGAGAGATGCGTCACTTAAGACAATTCCTGTCTTTTACACGTCATCTTAGGTATATCTTAGGCCCCCCTCTAATAAAATATGTTTTCTGTTCAGTCGGGAAGAAAACGACAGTGAGAGGGCGATTTCCTTTTATCATTTATATCATTTTTATTAATGTTATTAGTGTTATGCCGAGGCTTAATTTAGTATTATAATCTTAGTGAACTCGGTGTTCTGATTACTTGTCGGTGGCGTGGTGGGTGTTGGTGTGGGTGTGTGTGTTAGGTGTAGGTGTATGGTAGGTGTGTGTTAGGTGTAGATGGTGTTAGGTGTGGGTGTGTGTGTTGGGTGTGTGTGTTAGGTGTGGGTGTGTGTGTTAGGTGTAGATGGTGTTAGGTGTGGGTGTGTGTGTTGTGTGTGTGTTAGGTGTGTGGGTGTGTGTGTTAGGTGTAGATGGTGTTAGGTGTGGGTGTGTGTGTTAGGTGTGGGTGTTAGGTGTGGGTGTGTGTGTTAGGTGTATCTCTTAATTTATTATAATTTCCAAAAAAATTTCAAAAAGTGTAAACATACGAGGATCAGAATTAAACATTTTCGTAAACGTAAAAATAATTTAGTTTACCAATTAAGGCAATTACAGGTAATTTATTAATCGAACATCTATTTATAGCGAAAGAAAAGAGAAGTAGGAATAATAATGAATATATATATATATATATATATATATATATATATATATATATATATATATATATATATATATATATATATATATATATATATATATATCGAGATATTTTGTTTGTATGTTAGTCTCCTAATTTATGACCACTCAGGTGTACCGTTCATTAGTACAGGTGGGTTAATCTGACGGTGGAAGGGCAGCGCTGATATGAACACATCACCTTCAGGAGTATATTTAACCTATATAGAATTAATTTTTTTTTTATATTAAGTCGAAGGGAAGTGAAGGTGTACACGTGGAAGGCTATTGCGTACGCAGTGGGCGTGGGTAGTGCGCGTGGGCATGGTACATGTGTTGTGGCGTGGGAGGTAGCTGGAACTTGTAGGTTAAATCAGAAATACCGATGAGCTGTCAGTTTATCTGTATGTCACGTTTAGGGAATTCTGTTATTATTATTATTTTTATTATTATTATTATTATTATTATTATTATTATTATTATTATTATTATTATTATTATTATTATTATTATTATTATTATTATTATTATTATTATTATTATTTTTATTATTATTATTATTATTATTATTATTATTATTATTATTATTATTATTTTATTATTATTATTATTATTATTATTATTATTATTATTATTAAGTAGCGTTTTTATACTTGGCCAAATTCCTACCCCTAACACGTTACAGTACTGGTATGTGTGGCTGTGTGGGCTGGTGTACCCTCTTACACATGTACGCCATTTGTGTAAGTGTGGTAAGTATAATTGTTGTTCGTGCTGCTCTACTTTACTTGTATATTATATGTGTCTACCTACAGTCCTCTTCACTAGTTCGTTTACAGGGGCTCGTCTTATAAACATTCTACAGATGATTACAGTGAGATATTTATTTTAATATTGTTTTACTTTGAGTCCATATGTTTACCATTGCGAGTTTTCTTCTGTTGAATGTAAACAAACACAAGGCTGCCACACTGCACAAGACCTGACGAGCCCCTGTAAACGCACTACTGAAGGGGACTACATGGCTGTGTAGACGGAGACATTGTTCTTTAGTTCAGGTGTAAAGTTATATTGCGACGAGTTAATGAGGTTAGTTTCAGGAAAAGGTTAAGTTGAGGTTAGTTTCTGGTTAGGTTAGGTTGAAGTTAGGTTATGTTTAGTTTAGTTCCGATCAGGCATAGGTTAAGTTATCTTAGCTATGGTTCAGTATCAACACCAGTTTACTTTAAGTGTTCTGATATCTTTAAGTTCAGTTACATAAGTAAAATCTCTATAAATTAGACTTCAATATATCGGAATTCGCTTTTTCCGGACTGAGGTGCTCTGGTCACCACAAATACTGAAATAATGAATATTTTAAGAAATGTGGATCACTATAACACACTGTGTAGTATTTGATATGAAAATACCTTCCTAACATCGTTATTTACTACCTTTGGGTGATACAAGATGGCTGAATTTGGCTATTTGTACAGCTGATTAATGATTAAATCAGGGTATATGCAAATGCATGATACTGTACACAGCAATATTACTTATTAAGTGATAATAAATTCATTACAATAGTATTTATTAACTGATGAACAATACACTACTGTACTGTACTAGTGTGGAAGACAGACGTTGAGGTAAGCAAGAGTGGTGAACGAACTAAGCCGATCAGCTGTTCGCCCTCTGTAAACAAATGACTCGTGGTGATGAGTGTGGGATTCTTTTTGTCAGGGAAGTTAATGTTTTAGGATAATATTTTATTAACCTGGCACCAAATGAACTTAAATTATATGAGAATTATGGTGTAATAATCTGAAGACGTGTTGAAGGGACCTTGGGGGAGGGAGCTACCCACCTGCCTTTTCTCCCATCCCATCCCCTTTGCCAGCTGTTCCCAGATATACATTCCTCTACTACATACAATATACTCCTACACTTATTTGTTTTTATTTTTATCTTTATAGTACTATACACTATACAGTTTTATCTTTATTCATAAGACAAATTCTGTGGTTACTTACATAAATAACAAGCATCTCGGTGAAAACAGTTATTGACAACCAGACTGTCTGGTTTTCACCCCAGAGTTCTGTTTCATATTTTTTTTATTGTTGATGTAATATTCTTTAAATAACCTTGTTGTACACCTAAAGACCTTAGTTGTTGAAGTGCAGTAATAACATAATAACAACAACTGATTTTCTTTAAGCAGATCAGGTCAGCAGTGTCAGCCCCCTCCCCATATATTCGCGTTTTTCGGACTCACATTTTTCGGGCTGGGGTCTGCCCAATAAGTCCGATTTATTGAGGTTCTACTGGTACATTAATGTACTGTATATACAACAGCGTGATTATTTTTGTCAAACACGAACTGTTATAATCTTTTCCATCGTTATAAACCAGCGTTGTTGTGTACACTGCCAGAGGTGCTATAGAGGAAAGAGTGGTCAGTGATCCTTGGCCAGAGTGTTTCCCTCTGAGGCAGATGTCGTGTGTGCGTGTTGTTGACCCCTCACCTGGCGACCATACTGCACGGGGGTTGACTGTGTTGTGTCGTCATAGTAACAGGTCACTTACAGCCTCCTGATAGATGATCATTATACTATCTAACTATTGTTTTTTTTCATTCCGGCACTTGTTATGGGTGAGGTGTTGCGTGTATAGAAGATAGTTGTTTTCTTGGTATTTTTTGTGTTGTCTATAGGACTTAATGGTGTTTCTTAGACCATACTGATGAAGATTATAACGGAGAACTCTCTCTCTCTCTCTCTCTCTCTCTCTATATATATATATATATATATGCTGATAACCACAAGCATATACCTAGATCACGCGCACCTACAGTGATTTACTTGCATATATATATATATATATATATATATATATATATATATATATATATATATATATATATATATATATATATATTTCATGTAAATCACAATGAAAACGTGGATAAAGATATATATATATAGCATATATATATATATATATATATATATATATATATATATATATATATGTGTATATATGTATATATATATATATGTATATATATATATATATATATTTTGATATCACACGGGAAAATGGAAGCAACGTTGTTTCCATTTTCCATGTGTTATCAAATTTATCTTACGTTTTCATTAATAATTTATAAAGCTCTTTCTATATATATATATATATATATATATATATATATATATATATATATATATATATATATATATATATGTGTGTGTGTGTGTGTGTGTGTACAGTATGTATCGGGCAACTCAGGACGGTCACATCATATTACTTTAATAAAAAAATAAACTATCGGACATAATTTCAATTTAGCGGCGTGAGTTCCGTAATGAAAATGTCCAAGATATAGATTGCAAAAGCACAATTAAGTCAGTTGCTCACTTGATATGATATGCAACTTGCAGTCAACTCGTGTACGTGAGCGAGTGTGAGTTTAACCAGTTCATTTCCTGGTGACAATCTGCAACATAACTTCCCACTTTACCTGCGTAAAATCATTTAATTGCTAAAGTTACCTGTCCACAGTTTGATGTTATGATAGCCATTATCATATGGGTGTGTGTGTGTGTGTGTGTGTGTACACATTTTCCAACATTCTGAAAACATTCATATGTTAAGTGTGTCGTACAGGTAACTTGTAGATTAGTTTCCTGGTATGTGATAAAACAAGTTCGTTTCCTGACAGTAAATCGACACTTGAGTTAACACGACGTGTGAGCAGGCCAGTAAGTGGTTAGGTTGGGTTACGTTAGGTTACGTTAGGTTACGTTAGGTTAGGTAACTTATATTTTTTTCTACAGCACTTATTTATTTTATTTTCGTAGTCAATATTATTTTTATTTAATTTTACTACTTTTTATTATTTATTAAAGTTTATATTAGAATTTTTATGATCTTTGGATGTACATTTATTTAGCGTTGAGGGAAGAGGTCAGATGGGCGACTCTCTCTCTCTCTCTCTCTCTCTCTCGTGATTGTGTGCATAATGTATATCGTGAGATCCGACCCAATTATGCATAATGTATGTCTTTGGATCCTATCTTTTATTCATATTTTTTTCGTAATATATAACCTTCTGGACCAGGAGGGCATTTTCCGTGGTCCTGAGTTTCATGGTCCAGAGTTCCGCGGTCCAGAGTTCCATGGTCCAGAGTTCCATGGTCCAGAGTTCCGTGGTCCAGAGTTCCATGGTCCAGAGTTCCGTGGTCCAGAGTTCCATGGTCCAGAGTTCCGTGGTCCAGAGTTCCGTGGTCCAGAGTTCCATGGTCCAGAGTTCCGTGGTCCAGAGTTCCATGGTCCAGAGTTCCATGGTCCAGAGTTCCTTGGTCCGTCCTATAGATTCTTCTTGGAAACACTGAGGCAATTGTCACCAAACTCTCCCAGATGATGACGTCTTCCGGGTGACGTTCGTAATAGTCGGAAAGGAGGGGGGGTAGGGGCAGGATGAGAAGGGAAGGAGGAGAGGGAGGGGGTTGGAGGGATGAGGGGTAGGGAGGATGAGGTAGGGTGAATGGGGGAGAAGGGAGAGGGGAAAAGAAACAAGAGTGGGAAGGAGAGGGAGAGTGGGTAAGGAAAGGGAGAGAGGGAAGGGTAAGGCGAGGGAGAGTAGGAAGGAGGGTAGTGGCGAGAGATCGTTTAGGGGAAATTGTAGGTAAAATAATTAACTTCACGTCAATGTGTGGGGCGACGGAGCATCCCTGAGAGAGTAATTCCATGGTTGTTTTTGGTCACTATTGAGTCACTTAGAATATCTTGAAGCAGCATTTGTATTGTAATTCATGTGTGTATTTTACTTATGTTTGGTACGTGTTTAAACCTCCAATAACCTAACCTAGCCTAACCTAGCCTAACCTAATCCAAGCTATCGTAACCTAACATAACTTCGTCATTCTCTGTCTTCATTAACCATAGCATCACTATCCACACACACACACACACCCCTACCTCTTCTCTCCAGTACTCTCCTCGTAGTGTCTCCCTCTCACCCCTTACTCTCCTCTTTCCAGTACTCGTCGTGTCTCCCCCCGTACTTTCCCCTGTAGTGGTCTCCTCTCACCCCCTTACTCTCCCTCTTCTCCAGTACTCTCCCTCGTAGTGTCTCCCCCTCACCCCTTTACTCTCCTATTCTCCAGTACCTCCTCGTAGTGTCTCCCTCTCACCCCTTACTCTCCTCTTCTCCAGTACTCTCCCTGTAGTGTCTCCCTCTCACCCCCTTACTCTCCTCTTCTCCAGTACTTCGTAGTGTCTTCCTCTCGTAGTGTCTCCTCTCACCCCCCCTTACTCCCCCTTTCTCCAGTACTCTCCCTGTAGCGTCCCCCTCTCTACTTCCTCTTCTCCAGTACTCTCCCTCGTAGTGTCTCCCTCTCACCCCCTTACTCTCCCTCTTCTCCAGTACTCTCCCTCGTAGTGTCTCCCTCTCACCCCCTACTCTCCCTCGTTACCCCTGACTCTCCTTCACACACTATCCCATCCAGTCCAGGACTCCCCCAGCCTCGCCTTCTTCAGTAGCGGTGAGCGTTTGTCGTATCTTCGGCGCCTGCAGTGGTTCTCGTCGCCTTTAAGTCGGTTAATATTTCAGTCCCTAAATCCCCGTTCGGATAGATCCACCCGAAGCCACGGCCTCAAGAATCCAACCCAGTGGTGTAACACGTAATACTGCTCCTTGACCTTATTTGACCTGACACCAAGAAAGGAAAGGTCAGCGTATTTAGTTTGGCCTCTTTGTGTGTGTGTTTGTTTGTTCGGTCCTTGGGTTAACCACATGTAAATAAATAGTTGAGGTATGTATATTTTCCTCTGAGTTGTGCACTGGTTTGACCCCGTGGGTAAAAGGTCAAACTTTGCATATGAGATTTAACCCCGGATGTAAGAAGAGGTCAAATGAGCATGTGAAGTAGTTTGACCCCACGTGTGAGAAGAGGGCAAATGAGCATGCGAAGTAGTTTGACCCCACGTGTGAGAAGAGGGCAAATGAGCACACAAGGGCGTTTAACTTTGTATAGTACTGTAGGTTCTTAATTATCAGCCAATAGTTTTGATAATTACACCAGGTACTGCCCAGGTGTTCTTCGTGGAGTATAGAACAACATGGAGAGGATAGTGATGTGAAATTGTGCTGCCTTAAGTAGTGAAGTTCTCCGTAGTCTGTGTGAGACGATTGGTCGTTGTGAACGTGTTAACCGGTACAGTGAAACCTCTATTTAACGGACTTTATGGAGAAGAAAGTCCCTTACATCGAGGGTTCGTAAGATGTGAAACCCCTATCTAACGGATTACATAGAGTACGAAGTCCGTTAAATGTAGGTTTCACTGTATGACGTATGGTGAAGAACGAGATACAGTACCTATTAGCTTTGTGAACGACTTTCCTTAAATACACAATAAATCGAGTCTTGGATGTGCTGCCCTCTGTCCGTCTGTCTCCGTACCACACACACACACACACACACACACACACACAGGCTTCAGAAAATACCACTTACTCCGCGTCTGATATTCGAGTCTCAGAAGGACGCTTGTGTTTCAGTATGCATTGATTTTTTTTGTTTAAGATTTAATGTCATAAAATAATTGAAAATGGTATAATTTGTTCTTGAAAAACACAAGCTATATATAAAGCTATATATTACTCTAATTATTACATAGATGGATCTTTTAATTAGCTATTTTGTGATCTTTCAACGGGTAACTTAATACTCACAGCTAATCCACTTTTACCTACTGATGTCCAATTTATTATCTTCTATTTCCAATCCCTAATCTCCCATAATCTGTCATACCTAATCCTTAACCTTAATCCAGCTTCATCATCCTCATGCATAGTCACATCCCAAATCTCTAATGTCTAATCCTTATCCTAGGGTCTCATTTCAATGATCTAAATCCTCTGTTTTGTTTGCTCCAATCCCTAATCTCCAATCAAGTCATCCAAGTAACTAATCTCTAACTTAAAAACCTCATCTTCCTCGTCTCTAATCCCTAATCACCAGTCAAAACAATCTCTAATCACCAATCTTTAACATGACACAATTTCCTTGACGTCGTCCACGTGTATTTCTAATCACTCGTCACCAATCTCCAATCCCTGTTCTCAGTATCAGATTTCTTCTCCCTTTGTCCAGTTGGTCTTAATCTGTCTCTTTTGTACACTGCGACGCCTGACCAGATTAGTATTATTATTATTATTCGTAGTAGTAGTAGTAGTAGTAGTAGTAGTAGTAGTAGTAGTAGTAGTGGTAGTAACATTATGATTTTTCTTGTCATTATCGTCACCATCTATTTCATTATAATTATCCCCCACACTGAGTTAAATGAGTAAGTTTCCCCCTTCGAAGAAAATGGGAAAGAAAAACAAAAACGACTTAATTTCTCTCATATCAAATAAATTGGACAGTTAAATAGAGAAGTGAAAGTTACAAATATTGTTGTGTGATTAAAATGAGTAGAAATGTTTGTAATGTAAAGAATGTTATTGATATATAAACATAAAGGCCTCGATGGCTTTGACGAAGGGAAGTGAGGGATGGTTTGTTGTGATCAAGTTCAATTTTGACGTAACGAGAAGAGACCTGTAATAAAGTCTCCGGAAAAATACTGATAGTGTACAGGTGGTCATTGGTTTATCTCTCTCTCTCTCTCTCTCTCTCTCTCTCTCCAAACCTTTGTAGATGTGGGTTTAGGGTATAAGGTTGGACACACACACACACACACACACACACACACACACACACACACTCGCGCGCGCATAAGTTAAAGGTGTGTGATGTGCAGGTATGGTGTCCACGGTGTTGCTAATTAACACCTGGGCAGAGAAATAGGGGAGGGAGAGGAAGCAAGAGAAAGTTCGGGGTGAGAGGAAGAGCAAGAGGAGAGGTAAGAGCATGGGGGGCTGGAGGAGGGGAAGGTGGGGTGGAGAGGGGGGAGAGGAAGAGCATGGGGGGCTGGAGGAGGGAAGATGGGGTGGAGGAGGGGAAGAGGAAGAGTAGGTGGAGGAGGTGGAAGGGGGTGGGGTGGAGGAGGGGAGAGGAAGAGTACGGGGGCTGGAGGAGGTGGGAAGGTGGAGGAGGGGGAGAGGAAGAGTACGGGGGCTGAGGAGGTGGAAGGTGGTGGAGGAGGGGGGAGGAAGAATGGGGTTGGGGGAGGTGGAACGAGGAAGAGTACGTTGGGAGAGGTGGAAGGTGGGTGGAGGAGGGGGAAGAGGAAGAATGGGGCTGGAGGAGGGAGTGGAGGAGAGGGGGGAGGAAGGCTGGGGCTGGGGGGAGGGAAGGTGGTGGGGAGGAGGGGAAGAGGAAGAGTATTGGGGTTGGGGGAGGTATGGTGGAGGAGGGGAGGAAGAGCATGGGGGTTGGGAGGGAAGGGTGGGGTGGAGGAGGGGGAGAGGAAGAGCATGGGGTTGGGAGAGGTGGAAGGTGGGGGTGGAGGAGGGGGAGGAAGAATGGGGTTGGGGAGGTGGAAGGTGGTGTGGAGGAGGGGGAGAGGAAGAGTACGAGGGAAGAGCATGGGGTTGGGGGGAGGTGGAAGGTGGTGGAGGAGGGGGAGAGGAAGAGTGGGGCTGGAGGAGGGTGAGGAGGGGAGTCGGCACAGTGCACGATATACCTCTTGTCTGTCCACCAGCCCACACAGACAGCAACAGACAGTCTCTCTACATTTAACAGACAACAACTTGAGGACAGGTTGATAGGAGTGATGGAGGAGGGGGAAGGAGGGAGGGAGGGAGGGATGGAGGGAGGGGGGGAAGGTGGGAGGGAAGGAGGGAGAGAGGGTAGATGCTTGTGTCAATACTCACCATCATCAGCAGCAGGTGAAAACGACACACACACACATACACACACACACACACACACACACACACACACACATCTCTACCACAACCTCTACCTCTTCTACTACCACCACCATCACCACAACCAACAACATCTTCTACATGACCCTCCCCCCCCCCGGCTCCAGCATGTTCAGTATTGACAGTACGACTTTAAATAAACAGTACACGTCCAGAAACGACCCAAACGACCCAGTGGAAAGGAAACCCACACAACGAACCCACAGATAGTCGATACAACCCAAAGTGACCAAGATGGTTTCACAAGTACTCACAAAGACTCATATAGGCTTCACAAGTGCTCACAAAGCTTCATATAAACTTCACAGGGACTCCTACACTAGCCTTCACAAGTACTCACAAGGACTCCTACACTAGGCTTCACAAGTACTCACAAAGACTCATATAAGCTTCACAAAGACTCACAAATTCTTCGAAAAGATCAGAACGAAACTAATCAACTTAGAATGAATAGAACACCTGAGAACAACTCGAAGCAGCGGAGAACGAAGAAAAACGACTGAGAAGAACAAAGAAAAACAATGGTCAACCGAGAGAAAGAACTG